ACCAGGATGGTCTCGATCTCTTGACCTCGTGATCCACCCGCCTCGGCCTCCCACAGTGCTGGGATTACAGGCTTGAGCCACCGCGCCCGGCACAAGTCTCTCTTTTCTACTCCCATTTGCTAATCCCATCCACAAAGAACCCTTCTCTTTTCCTTTCTTTCTTTTTTTTTTTTTGAGATTGAGTGTCTGTCACCCAGGCAGTGGTATGATCTTGGGTCAATGCAACCTCTGCCTCCTGGGTTTAAATGATTCTCCTGTCTCAGCCTCCTAAGTAGCTGAGATTACACCATATGCCGGCTAACTTTTGTGTTTTTAGTAGAGACGGGGTTTCACCATGTTAGCCAGGCTGGTCTCAAACTCCTGGGCTCACACGATCCACCCACCTCAGCCTCCCAAAGTGCTGGGATTACAGACGTGAGCCACCACGCCTGGCCCAAAGACCCCTTTTCCAAGTAAGGTAGTATTTATAGGCTCCAGGGATTAGGACCTGGTATCTTTAGGGGCCATTTTTGTTTGTTTGTTTAACAGAGACAGAGTCTCACTCTTGTTGCCCAGGCTAGAGCATGTAGCACAGTTGTAACTCAGTGTAATCTCAAACTCCTGGATTCACACAATCCTCTTGTCCCAGCCTCCTGGGTAGCTGGTACCACAGGCAATCGACACCATGCCCGGCTAATTTTTAAATATTTTCATAGAGAAGGAGTTCTTGCTGTGTTGCCCAGATTGGTCTCAAATTCTTGGCCTCAAGCAATCCTCCCACCTCAGCCTCCCAAAGTGCTAGGATTACAGATGTGCACCAGCATGCCCAGCTGGGGGCTATTATTTAGTGGACCACACACCACATTCTCCCTCCCCTTGTGGGTTCCCTCATGCCCTCCTTTCCTCCCCACAGGTCTTCCTGCAGTTATCACCACCTGCCTGGCCTTGGGTACCCGCCGGATGGCAAAGAAGAACGCCATTGTGAGGAGCTTGCCCTCTGTAGAGACCCTGGGCTGCACCTCTGTCATCTGTTCTGACAAGACAGGCACCCTCACCACCAACCAGATGTCTGTCTGCAAGGTCAGGAGCAGTGTGGGCAGCACGCTCGGTCAGAAGGCTGCCTGTGGGGGTGAAATGGGCCCTCCAAAGATAGCGTTCTCCCTTCATCACTGGTGGCTTCTCATGTGGGCCTGCAAAATGCTCAAAGGGCAGTAGAACGCCATCCTGTCTGCTATGAAGGCGATTAGAGAGGACCCTTGTGCCCCAGCCAGACAGCTCACTATGGCCACAGTCCGTGCACCAGGCACTGCCACACCTTGTCTCTCATCCCACAATAGCCCATTCAGGGGATGGTCTCATTAACTTCGTTTTTTAAAATTAAAAATAAAATTATTATTATTATTATTATTTTGAGAGAGAGTCTCACTCTGTCGCCCAGGCTGGAGTGCAGTGGTGTGATCTTGCCTCACTGCAACCTCTGCCTCCCAGGTTCAAATGATTCACCTGCCTCAGCCTCCCTAGTAGCTGGGACTACAGGCACCTGCCACCACACCAGGCTAATTTTTTGCATTTTTAGTAGAGATGGGGTGTTGCCATGTTGGCCAAGCTGGTCTTGAACTCCTGGCCTCAGATGATATGCCCCCAACCTTGGCTTCCCAAAGTGCTGGGATTATAGGTGTGAGCCACAGCGCCTGGCCTAACTTCCTTTTTCAGAGGAGGAAAAAGGCTCTAAGAGATTCAATGACTTGCCCGAAGAGAATTTCAAACCCAAGTCTCTGTGGCCCCAGAGCTCCTGCCTGTGGAGTGGACAGCTCTCCAGAATGGTCACTTATGATGGGGCCTGGCCAGCCTGCTGACACTGACCACGAACAGCTTTTCCTAAAACAGGGCTCTTAATATTTTCTGTGCCTCACACCCCTTTGCAGTTAGGCCTCTTCTCAGGATAATATTTCAAATGTGTATTTAATACAGGATGGGTACAGTGGCTTACGCCTGTGATTCCAGCACTTTGGGAGGCTGAGGTGGGCAGATCACGAGGTCAGGAGTTCAAGACCAGTCTGGTCAACATGGTGAAACCACGTCTCTACTAAAAAAAATTAAATTAGCTGGGCATGGTGGTGCTCACCTGTGATCCCAGCTACTCAGGAGGCTGAGGCAGGAGAATCGCTTGAACCCGGGAGGCAGAGGTTGCAGTGAGCTGAGATTATGCCATTGCACTCCAGCTGAGGCAACACAGTGAGACTCTGTTTCAAATAAAATACAATAATAAAATAAAACAACAGGCCGGGCATGGTGGCTCACGCCGGTAATCTCTTTGGGAGGCCAAGGTGGGAGGATTGCTTGAGCCTAGGAGTTTAAGGGCAGCCTGGGCAACACAGTGAGACCCCATCTTTATAAAAATAAAATAGAAAATTAAAAAAATAAATAAACAAAACAGGATTCTGGGGGGGTTTTGGATTTGTTTTCTGAGATGGAGTCTCACTCTGTTGCCCAGGCTAGAGTGCAGTGTGGCATGATCTCAGCTCACTGCAACCTCTGCCTCCTGGGTTTGAGAGATTCTCCTGCCTCAGCCTCCTGATTTGCTGGGATTACAGGCTCGTGCCACCACACCCAGATGAATTTTGTATTTTTAGTAGAGACAGAGTTTCGCCATGTTGGCCAGCCTGGTCTTGAACTCCCGACCTCAAGTGATCTGCCTGCCTCAGCCTTTCAAAGTGCTGGGATTACAGGAGTGAGCCACCTCGCCTGGACAGGATTCTGTTTCAAAAATACATAGGAGGCTGGGCACAGTGGTTCACGCTGGTAATCCCAGTATTTTGGGAGGCCAAGGCAGGTGGATCACCTGAGGTCAGGAGTTTGAGACCAGCCTGTACAACACGGTGAAACACTGACTCTACTAAAAATACAAAAATTAGCTGAGCATGGTGGCAGGCACCTGTAATTCCAGCCACTCAGGAGGCTGAGAGGCAGGAGAATCGCTTGAACCCAGGAGGTGGAGGTTGCAGTGAGCTGAGATTGTGCCATTTGCACCGCAGCCTGCGTGACAAGAGTGAAACTCTATCTCAAAAAAAAAAAAAATTAAAAAGTAAAAAACATAAAAACACATAGGAAAAATACATAGGGTTACAGAGGAAACCAATGATTGTGAAATACAGCTCTATCAAAATATTTTTAAAACAATTTTATAATTTGGCTACCTGCATGCTTCTTTATTAAGGCATTAAATAGGGAGTTCTCAGAGTGGGTCTAAGCACTATCATAATGTTGAAACAGTGGTGTGCATAAATTATGCTATTTTGAGAGATCTACAACAGCGGTAATGTGATAGGAGGAAAGTATCTGTGATTAAATTGGTGACGGTCACAGGTTTTGCTAATACTAATGTGGTCTGTTGACAACATGCATAACTGGAAGGAAATGCCAAATGTCAGCTTGAGAAAAAAAAAGCTGTCATTTTTTTCTTGGCTGTCTCAGTTTAGGACTCCTCGAAGAGTCTTCCACTGAGCTCAGGGCAATAACCCCTGCCCTACACAGAGTTCTGTGGAAGAGTACACCCATGAACTGGAAATTGCTGTTCTAAGAAGCAAGGGCTATGTGTCAGATCAGGGTGAGAATGGCTGTAACCTTGACTCCGGGGAGAGACCCACGCCTGCTGGCATTTGAAAGTCTCAGAGGAAGCTGCCTGTGTAAAGAAGATGGATTCTGCTTTGTTTTACCCAGAAGTTCCCAAGTTGTTTTATTTTTTATTTTTTATTTTTTCTGAGATGGAGTTTCGCTCTTGTCACCAGACTGGAGTGCAATGGTGCAATCTCAGCTCACTGCAACCTCTGCCTCCTGGGTTCAAGCGATTCTCTTGCCTCAGCCTCCTAAGGAGCTGGAATTACAGGCACACGCCACCACACCCGGCTAATTTTTATATTTTTAGTAGAGACTGGGTTTCGCCATGTTGGCCAGGATGGTCTTGAACTCCTGACCTCAGGTCATCCGCCCGCCTCAGCCTCCCATAATGCTGGGATTATAGGCATGAGCCACCACGCCTGGTGGTTCCCAAGTTTTGTTTTGACCACAGAACCTTTTTGTCTTGGAACCTATCTTAACCATCTCTTCATGAGAATGAAAAACCTAATCTCTGTTGCGTTTACCCAGGGTTCAGGGTAGCCCGCTGCCTCCCAGGCATTGCATTCTCCACATCCCTCTAATGCACATACAGGTCACAAACCCAGACCACAGACTTGTGTGACTTGGCTCCTGTTGTGTTTCATAAAAACAACTCTTGCACCTGTAAGTCCCAGCACTTTGGGAGGCCAAGGTGGGTGGATCACCTGAGTTCAGTAGTTCAAGACCAGCCTGGCCAACATGGTGAAACTCTGTTTCTACT